ACGACGACGGACGGACGGACGGACGGGACGGAACGGACGGACGGACGGACGAAACGGACGGGACGCGACTCCAGATCTGAACCGGGACGGACGGGCAGCGGGAGCACACGTGACAGACGGATAAACACGTACATACACACTCGCGCACGCGGACACATACACAGTGACTAGCAAACTAAAATGCGAAGATCAAATTTATACTTCACGCGAGTGATCTTCAAGCCGCTCAAGCAATATACAAGTCTTGTTTTAGATAAACGCTGAACAAAGGACGCCGTCCGCCCAGCTTATAGCCGCAGCGCAAACACTAGACAGGTTTGTGCGTCTGACAGCGACTCGTGATGAAATTTAAATCTATTTATTTATCGATAGCGGCAGCCCAGCCGAGCGTCTGAAACGGAGATTAGAGCTCGCGTCCGGAGCGCCCCCTACGTTAAAGCATAACTGATTAATGTCGACGCTACCGCAATCAAGATGCTTTTTCTCATTTCCATGTCGTTATCTCTGATAGTTTTCGTAATATTGAATTCATTTTCCGAAATCGTTGCATGTAAATAACGAACCTATTCATCGGCACAATAACCGGAAGACTACAGTAGGGACAGTGGCCGCAATGGTATGATTTAAATATTTTCTGCTCGCGGATTGCGTGGGTGTGCCACGACTTATGGATCGCCCAAGGAGATGACGCACCAATAATCACACGAGTTTATTCAAAATCAATTTTAAAGAAAAACTCGATTTCCATTCAAAACCTTCGGTATTCCATTTTAAACTCAATGTTCCAATTGTCAAACTCGATTTCCAATTTCAAACTCAATTTCCAATTTCAAACTCGATTTCCAATTTCAAAAACTCGATTTCCAATTTCAAAATCGAATTTGAAATTGAGTTTGCCATTTAAAATTGATTTTGATATAACTCATGTGAATATCATGGGTGGCCCTCTTCTGGACAATCGAGATATTAGCTGGCTCGCTATACGATCGGCACAACGTATCGGTTTATAGTCTACCTTCATGTAATTGTATCGAATACTGAATATGTAGTCGTCTCTCGTGTAGGCAGCCTTGGGGATTCTAACTTTGGTGAAGTTCGTGCTAGCTATGTCGTACTTGGCTATATAGATGATCCATCGAGTGATAGTAAAACGACCCGTTGTAGATGGCGTGATTGTTGCCTCTGAAGAAAAATGAAGCATTCCTTTAGAGTGCTCCCTAGTCTCTCTCTCTCTCTCTCTCTCTCTCTTCTTCTCTCTCTCCTCCTCTCCTCCTTCTCCTCTCTCTCTCTCCTACTCTCTCTCTCTCTCTCTCTCTCTTTCTCGCTCTCTCTCTCGCTCTCTTACTCGCTCTCTCTCGCTCTCTCTCGCTCTCTCTTTCTCTCTCTCTCTCTCTCATATCAAAATACATCCCTTTTGTATTACTTGGAGAAAATTACGTGGCGGCGGTGGTGGTGATGGTGGTAGTGGTCCTGCAGGGAGAAGGCGGTAGAAGCATAATAGTAGTAGTAGGTGCTTACCTGTATGGACCAGGCAGCTCAATCTCTTCGTACTCCTCGTCCAGGAAGTGAGCCTCGTCTGTATACCTTCGCAACTTATCGCCTGCCGATCAACAATTAACGCAAACTTAACATCAACTAATATGATATTTATTACGCAATGCCACTTATCAAAACACGAGCTTTTCGTTCATTTAATGATATCACATATGGACATTTTTTGGCAGTCATGTCAGTCTTATGTTATTTTACGTACGTGCGTGCGTGTGTGAGTTTGCGACCGTACATATGCATTCGGGAGTGTGTATATTGTATATCTAGTATTTATATGCGCATGGCTGTGTATATTTTGGCATGCTTCTGGGGTTGTGAGTGGACGGACGTTCGCATGCCTACGCGCGCTCATTATGCACACCTTGGAAATGCCAGGTGAGGTAATATTCGTTTTCCTCTGCTTCCGTCATGGGCGCCGCATCCTTCATCCAGGCGCCCCAGTACGTCCCCGTGTAGCGGTGAAGCACCGCCTTACCGATGGCCTCCAGCTTACAGTCGGATGTTCGCGGTGCCATCTCTCCCCATGGCAGTGGCTCCTCCGTCGTTGTCGTTGCTGTGGAAAAGCGTCGCAGACGAAAACAGATCGGTAATAAACGTTTCTAAATTCTCATTAAAAATAACGGAAACGCGTATTCGTTGCTACCACCAGGGGTGAATAATGACAAATAATTCGTTATTATTCACACCTGCTATCACTTTTTGCACTTAACGAATAAATGAACATCCGACGCGGTAGACGTAAGCGGGAATAGTATTGCGACGTTGTCGCCACCTACGTAGTGTGGTGGTCGTTGTTGTCTTTAAAACGCCTTCACCGCCAACACCTGCGGAGAGCAAATAGAAACATTAAGTGGATGTATCGCGAGCAAGACTAACGTAAAGCGTCCGTCTGCTGCACGAATAAAATTTCCTTGGATATATAAGCCGTGGGATATACTCGAAAATAAATTTGAGGAATCCGACAATCATTATTTCTCAATCGAAATTTCTCTAGACTTATTTTCTTTCGCGGTGCGCGTATTTTGCGACGAGAGCAGCATAATCGTTGAGGCTGATAGAGTTTCCCCGAGCGGTGATTACGGGTATTAATGCCCTCGTCATTGTCCGGAAGAATTCTCATTTCCCCGCGGATTAGTAAAAAATCAAGTTTCGCCGTTTCGTCGGATTTTATGAGCATAGAAACCGGCGGAGTCTATATCGCGTGACCTCTAAGATAATTGCATGTTTTGGGAGCAAGATTGCGACTGTGACTGGTCGAACTATTATTGTTAGACAGACGTATTGTTTACCCAAACATCTATCTACACACGCGTGCGCGCGCGCGCGTGTGTGTGTGTGTGTGTGTGTGTGTGTGTGTGTGTGTGTGTGTGTGTGTGTGTGTGCGTGTGTGTGTGTGCCAC